TCGAAGCGTAAGCAATGACATGCCCCCTTTGCATCAGCACCGCGCCCAACCCAGAAATGGACGCATCACAATAAACCACGAAATCCTCTACGCCCTCTGGCAGGGCTAAGATCGGCGCCTCACACAATCTCTGTCTCAGCGTCTCAAATGCAGCCTGCTGCTCGGGTCCCCACCGAAAGACCACGGCTTTCTTCGTCAGCCGCGTCAGGGGCACGGCTATCTTGGAGAAATCCTGGATAAATCTCCGATAGTAGCCTGCCAATCCTAGGAAGCTCCGAATCTCAGATGGAGACTTCGGAACCTCCCATCTCATCACGGCCTCGACCTTGGCCGGATCGACCAGAATCCCGTTCTGGTTGACGAGGTGTCCCAGAAATTGCACCTCGCGCAACCAAAACTCACACTTGGAGAACTTGGCATACAAGCTCTCCCTCCTCAGGGTCTCTAACACCTCTCTCAAATGCTCCTCATGTTCCTCCCGGGTCTTGGAATAAACCAAGATATCATCGATAAAGACTATCACAGACCGGTCCAGCATCGGTCTGCATACACGGTTCATGAGGTCCATGAACGCGGCAGGAGCATTGGTGAGCCCAAACGGCATCACCACGAACTCGTAATGGCCATAGCGCGTCCGAAACGCGGTCTTCTGCATATCCTCCTCCCTGACCCTCATCTGATGATAACCCGAACGCAAATCAATCTTGGAGAACCAAGATGCGCCCTGAAGCTGGTCAAAGAGGTCATCAATCCTCGGAAGCGGGTAACGGTTCTTCACCGTTACCTTGTTCAGCTCCCGATAATCTATACACATCCGATGCGACCCATCCTTCTTCTTCACAAACAGAATCGGGGCTCCCCAGGGCGAACTGCTCGGACGAATGAACCCTTGTCCAGCAGCTCCTGCAGCTGCGTAGACAACTCCTGCATCTCGGGAGGAGCCAACCGATACGGCGCCTTGGCTATCGGGCCGCACCAGGAACAAGGTCGACCTGAACTCCACCTGTCGCTCCGGAGGTATCCCAGGAAGCTCCTCTGGGAAGACGTCTACAAAGTCCGAACCACCGGAACCTCGCTCATCGATGCATTACCCGCCTTTCGGGTATCCATCACATACGCGACATAACCCGCGCATCCCTGCTGAAGGTAGCGCCTAGCCCTCGCTGCTGAACATACAGTGGGTCCACACTGCGGCCGCTCTCCATGAATCACTAACTCTCCCCCGCTTGGGGTCCTGACTCGCACTAGCTGCTGTGCGCAATCTATCACTGCCCCATTAGGGCTCAACCAATCCATACCAATAATCACCTTGTTCCCACGCAATGGAATGGGAACCAAGTCTACCAGGTAACACTCCTCAAACAGTCGCAGAACACAATCTCGAAACACCATCGATGCTCGCACCGATCGATCGTCAGCAATCTCTACCTCTAACGGGCAATCTAACTCGCCTGAAGTCTCATGAAATCTCTTGCTAAGAGCAAGAGAAACGAACGATCGGGATGCACCCGAGTCGAACAATACCTGAACCGGGATGCCGTTCACATGGAACGATCCTAATACACATGTATATACACGGAGCACATATCAATATCATAACAACGTAAAATAAAAGATAGAAGGAAGGAATCATACCCGTCACCACATCGGGCGCGGCGCGTGCCTCCTCGGCAGTCAACTGAAATGCCCTACTCCTCACCACTGGAGCCTCTGCCTTGCCCTGACGGCCATCCGTGATCCGCAGGGTCGCTGGAGCTGGCGCCTTCACTGGCACTGAAGCTGTCAACATGGGGCAATTGGCCTTCTTGTGGCCCCTCTGGTTGCAGTGGAAACACAACAACTCCGATGTCTGAATAACTGTCGCAGAAGTCTCATGAAATCTCTTGCTAAGAGCAAGAGAAACGAACGATCGGGATGCACCCGAGTCGAACAATACCTGAACCGGGATGCCGTTCACATGGAACGATCCTAATACACATGTATACACACGGAGCACATATCAATATCATAACAACGTAAAATAAAAGATAGAAGGAAGGAATCATACCCGTCACCACATCGGGCGCGGCGCGTGCCTCCTCGGCAGTCAACTGAAATGCCCGACTCCTCACCACTGGAGCCTCTGCCTTGCCCTGACGGCCATCCGTGATCCGCAGGGTCGCTGGAGCTGGCGCCTTCACTGGCGCTGAAGCTGTCAACATGGGGCAATTGGCCTTCTTGTGGCCCCTCTGGTTGCAGTGGAAACACAGCAACTCCGATGTCTGAATAACTGTCGCAGGAGCAGTGCAATCCCTGCTGATATGCCCAAACTTGCCGCACTTGTAGCAGCCTGACGATCCCATCCTGCACGCCCCCTCGTGCGGCCTGCCGCACCTCCTGCAGCGGCTCGGTCCCGACTGGCCTTTTGGCCTCCCATCTGATCCCTTGGGCTTCTTCCCCGAAGCCCCTGATGCCTGACCATCCTCAAGTTTCCGTTTCCGGATGTGCTCCAAATCTATCTCTCTCTCCTAGCCCTGGCAATCATGGAGTCCAGGGTAGGGCAAGCCGAAAAGCTGACATGCTCCCGAATGTCAGCTCGTAGCATATCATGGTAACGAGTCCTCCTCATATCCTCGTCGCCTGCATACTGGGGCACCAATAAAGCCCTCTCCCGAAACTTGGCGGTGATCTCCGCCACGGTCTCTGTCGTCTGCCTCATGTCTAGAAACTCCCTGGCCAGCTGCTGAAGCTCGACCGCTGGCGCAAACTCTGCCCTGAACCTAGCCACAAAGTCCGACCAGGTCATTGCCTCGATAGCCGAGGCTCCCAACGAGTCACCCACTGACTCCCACCAATCTCGGGCCCGGTCCCGCAAACACCCTGCTGCGTACCTCACCTTCGACCCCTCGGGGCAGAAGCTGTCAACTGGGCGGACTCAATATCCGCAATCCACCGCCTGGCGACAATGGGGTCCTTCACCCCATGGAAATCCGGCGCACCACTGCCCTGAAGTCCTTGAAGGACAGTGTGCGAGATCCTGACTGGCTAGAGGCCAAGTCGCTCCTGAATGCCCGTAGGCGATCCTCCATCAACTCCACGATCCCTTCCTTGATCGACCCAAAGATGATGGGGGTCGACTCAAGGATGCCCCTAGTGATCTCCGACGTGATGAACTCACGTAGCCTCTCCTCAATCGGCTCGGTGCCAGATCCCGAACCTGACCCCTCTCCTGACCCGCCATCTGTCGGTCTCGGTCGAAGTACCACCATTCTGCAAAACATCATAATAATCATTAGTGGTACTGCTACTTTCTGAGGGATCTCAACTACTTACAGGTTCCTTGGTCTCGTCTTGGCCTTCCTCGGCTCGGGTACGGATCCTCTGCTTTCAGTAGTACGGGCCCATACTACCTTCCACATCTATCCGTACCTTCTCCGAGGAATTCCTCGACTCCACCAACTCCCCTCTACTACTGCTACTCTCTGTTATTCTCATCCTAGGCTTGCCCTAGGGAAAACTCAAGTTCAACACAACTGGTCCTCAGCTGCTGTAGGTCTCCTCATAATGCCAGTTAGCCACCACCTAAACACCATCACATGTGATGAGGATTAGATAATCCTTCAAGTAAAAGATCCGTCCCTACAACGGTTGGACTCAAACAAGAGCTGCGCAATAGGGCCAGTTCCAACACTTTGGGATTATTCAACCCTGATTACATGTGGTGTGACGTGTTTACCTAGTGGCTCACTCCCATTACTCAGAATCCCACCAAGCACGAAGCAAGCAGCATTCGGATAAGGAAAAACAGACTCAAGCCAAAACTGTTCTTAGAACAAGAAACGACACTTAACATAGGATGCTAAGCTCATACTATCAGGCATAACCTAAACAGGCTATCCTACTGCTGTCTACTCAATTCTAGCATGCAATATTCAATAAGCTGTAGCAAATAAACAGGCACATAAGGCATCACTCCTAGATCCTTAGCCTATTCTAGCATGCAATATTCATAAAGCTGATAAACATAACATAAACTTGTATGGGTACTATGGGGAATACTTACTTGAGCTCGGCCGGTCGCGCACGTCACACACTTTACTCTTCTTGTGACTCTTTTCCGGGTTTTAAAGAACAATTTCTTTTGGAAAAATCTTTCAATCCCTCGATTTGAGTCCAAACACTCCCGAAGGCGTGTCCGAATCCCTCAAACCAGGGCTCTGATACCAACTTGTAACGACCCAATTTTTTTACGTCCGAAAATTTCATTTTTAAGGTATTACTTTAGAAAACATTAATAAATAAAAACATTGTTTGTTCACACCATAACACATCGCAACCATGTTCTAAAAAGTCAAACCATACATCCCATCAAAATATCAGAGTACAATCCCAGTAAATCTCATAAATGCGGAAACCGAAGAGTGTGTGTATGACGTGCCGCTACCGCGCCGGCTCCTTCCCCTTCGATGCAGAGGTACCTGAAAACAAAACTGTAAACGTAAGCACAAAGCTTAGTGAGTTCCCCCAACGTACCGCATACCATACAAACACATAACATACGTACTGCCAGGCTATTCTGGGGTGCCTGACTACCCGGTACGGCCATTCTGGGGTGCCGACCTACCCATACGGCCATTCTGGGGTGCCGTCTTACCCGTGTCAAGCCATTCTGGGGTGCTGACTACCCATCGGTCCTAACAACCGATCCTCGGGGACTATTTCACCCCCTACTACTACGATCACATATAACATAACAAGCCAGCATGCATACATATCATCACATACTGTCAGACGTATCTGGGGTGTCTGACTACCCTTCGGTCCTAACAACCAAACTCTACTACTATCACATACAACATATCATGCTAGCATATAACATGTCAGGTAATAGCAAACTTAGATGATATCACAAAGACAATCATCTATCATACATCTCCTACTGGTGGGTCGGCATTGTGGCCTTAGACCCACTGCTACTGGAAGGTAACTCACCTCAAAGTAGCTGCTGAACTGATCGGGAACTAACTGACTGCTGCTGCTCCGGGAGTCCTCCGGCTGCAATTCCCACAACATACTCAATCAAACACTGCTAACTGTCCTTTAGGTAAAATGACCATTTTACCCCTGGTTTAGCCTAAGCCAATGCTAGGGTCAACTTTCAGTTGACCCGACTCGCCGAGTGGATCACCACTCGCCGAGTCCCTAGCAAACCAATGTCCTGGGTCCCTGGTTCTACTCGTCGAGTCGGGCTATGACTCGACGAGTTCACCTTCTAACTGTCATAAACTCCTTCATCCTACTCGCCGAGTTGTATGAACAACTCGTCGAGTTCATCTTCATCCGATGAACACTTTATGCTAAGACTCGCCGAGTTGTATGAACAACTCGCCGAGTCTGTTCTTGATCTATGAAGATTGCCTTGGACTCGCCGAGTCAGGGCATTGACTCGCCGAGTCCTAACATGGGTGAGTTCAGCTCCCAACTCACCGAGTCACCCCCTGTGACTCATGGCTCAACTCGACACATGAAGAAGGACCAAATCGGTGACTCGCGACCAGACTCGCCGAGTCACCTATGCGACTCGCCGAGTCGTCGCCATGCACTCCTTAAATATACCGATTTGCTCGATTCCAGTCCATGCCATTCATAGATCTGGACTTCTAGGACACGAATCACACGTAAAGTTTCCAACTTTACGTGTGGATATTCACCAAAATGGATTATAGGGCTCAAAATGTCTCAAAAGGGTAGATCTAGGGCTAACAAGCCTCATGGGGCCAAAAAGCTAACAGATCTGAGCTCCTGGAGCTCAATCTTGTATAGATCCAAAGGCCAAACGCCTTATTACGACATATAATGCACATACTAGCTTGGGGAATTGACCAAGAAGGACCCAAATGAAGTTTTAAGCATAGAATCAAGGGGAAAACGGGTTATACCTCAAAGGAAATGTTGAAATAACACAAAGATGGCTGATCTCCTTCTCCTCTTCTTGATCTACTCCTCAAAACCTTCAAGAACACACCAAGAACACCTCAAACTCTCAAGGAAACAAGGGAAAACGATGTAGGGGGAGTTCCGGGGGTGAATGGGGACGAGTTGGGGCGGAATGAGAGTTTAAATAGGGTGCAAACCCTTGAAACTTAGGGTTTCATCCAGCAGCGGTGACTCGCCGAGTCCAGGATGTGGACTCGCCGAGCCGCCTACTTAAAACGTGTCCTGAGTCTCGTCTCTACTCGGCGAGTCGGACCCTATGACTCGCCGAGTCCAAGGTTAAATTAGGGCAATGCTCAAATAAAATTCACATACCGGAAACCAGGTGCTACAAAATTGGTCATTTTCCAAATATTAGGTCAGTATACTCAAGCACTCCATATAAATCAGTCAAGAAGAGAAAAATCACATTACGAATATTTCAAACATAAATTAAGCACAAAGAGATAAGAATAGAACCAAGGGTAAAATAGTCCATTCTCCCTATAACATATATCCTTGACATGTACATTTGATTTAACCTCCAAAAGCCTTTTTTCATCTCAAAATAATCACTTTACCTTTCTAAACCAACTTTAGACTTACATGGAAAGAGAGAAAACAAAGAACTGGTAAAATAAACAAACAAATGGGTTATTTTTGTTAGTGTGTTAGTGTAGCTACTGTGAATCCAAAATTTCATCACTTTTATGAGATGTTTCTCCTGAAATCTGTTGTAGACCAAAAATTAGGTAAAGGGTGCACGGGGGTGATACCGACCTGAACATCAAAAGTAAAATTAAACCAAAAAAACATTAATTAATCAAATTTTGATGAAACCCAATTAGATTCAACATAAAAAAAAAATTAAAATTTACAGAACTTAAACATAATACCCTTGAAATTTATAGAATTTAAACATAATACCTTGGATTTTATTAAGAAAGAACGAAATCAAGTAAAAAAGTATCTATAATCTCGAGAATGAAGATCGATTCATCATACAAATCTTGTCCTCCTCTTTTCATCAAGAACAATGCAAAACCGATTATGATTAGAGCAAATCGAACAACAAAAGAACAAATGGTTAAATAGTAATTAAGTGCAAATTCTGTCTTCAGGTCTCTGTTGCACACACAACAACCACACATGGATTGATCTCATCACTTCTGATAAATTCATCGATTTAATATTAATACATTCTTCAACCAGTTCCAAAGATTTCCCTTCTTTATGTAATCCCCATGCCTGAAAAAAACCCATAACACATTGAAGATGACGAACAGTGGTTAATTCAATTGAAAGTTGAAACAAAAACTAACATATCTGATAAGATTGTGGGTGTATTCTTTATGAAAGAATCGTCAGTTTTTCTTCCCACTCACAATCTCTAACATAACAACACCGAAGCTAAATACATCTGATTTGATTGAAAAGATTCCATCTCAGAGGCTGTCCCAGAGTGAAAAACAAACACCAACAATTGAAGTTCCTACAAAACAACTCTGCCCAGGAGGAGCATCCAATGGTGAGCCTCTTGATTCTTACTAAAGGGGACAACTTTCATTTTATAACGTTGCCCAGTAGGAGCATCCAAATCCTCCTGCAACGACTAGTATTTTACGATTCTCTTTGTGATTTAGGGCAAATGTAAACAAGGACTTGGTTCGGGAATCAAATGCCGACCTAGTGTTATTAGTTGAAATCAAAAACCGACCCAGTGTTATTAGTTGCAAACATTGTAAAACTGACATGACGATCTGTAGAATACAAAATAGAATCAAGCTTTAAAGGTGTATAGTATACCTTTCCGATTGGAGAGAAATCTTCTTCAACTGTTGAAACAGATCTTGAGCCGATCGCAAGGTCCATTTTGCTGCATAAATCTCTCTGATGGAAATCAACGAAACATCTTCGATTCCAGAGAAATCAGGCGGAAAGCAAGCTTGGCAGGTGAATGGACAACGTGTCACCGACGGTGGAGGTGATTAGGATGGAGACGGAAAGAAGAGGGATTGATTGTGCTTGTACTTTCTGATCTTCGTCGACAGATAATCAATCATTGTCTCCATCAATCTAAAATTCGCCTGACGCACAGATCGGTTCATCACCGCCTCCGTTACAGATCTAAAAAATCTTGCCCTGATCTATGTGCGCCTCCGGGCTCCGTTACAGATCTAAAAAATCTTGCCCTGATCTACGTGAGCCTCTGGGGTTTCTTTCCACTCCACACGAGCATTCACCAAAGCAGAGGTTTCCCTCGAAGCATCGGATGAAGTTGGAAAGGGGAAGTCTTTGGTGGTGTCAATGTGAGTTAGGTTAGATGGCAGTTGTTTAGGAGATTAGGTAAGGTCTTGTACTATAATATGTATATCATCCGTGTACTATAATTCGTATGTCGTTTATATGCTTAATATTATTGTACATGAGGTAATATATGTTGTACCTCTTATTTTTCAAGAAATGGGCAATATCCTTAATAATATAGTAAAGATTATGAGTTTTTTAAATATAAAAAGAACTTCAAGTTCATACTAGCAAAAAAAAAAATGAGGTAAAGGCAAAGCCTACAAAAACTTTTATTTAGAGCTTGTTTGGATAGAAAAAAAAAGAGTTTATAGTTTATTGTTTATCCCTACTACTATAAGTTAAGTGTAAGTGATTTGATAGGAAACATTAAAAATCAGCTTATTGTTGTGGGGATAAGCTAAATAAACTATAAACTAATTTATCCAAACACCCTCTTAGTTCTAGCAAAGAAACCACAAGTTGAAGCTGAAATCGTTGAGTCGTCAGCCGATTGATTGATCGATGCAGGCAATCCATAATTAAAGACATGCAACTAAGACAATGAGTTGGAAGAGTAAAATGGAGAATTGAACATGATGGATCGGAAATCTATGAGATTTAGCTTTTGTTTGTGATGATTAAGGGTTCAATGTAGATGAAGTTTTTGGCATAGTAGTATCAGATCTATTAGAAAAGTGTTGTTAAACCAAAAAGGCGGAGGTGAAACTCCTATGATGGACAGATGTTTAGATTTAAGAAAATGATAAGGATTGTGGACAAATGTTTAGATTTAAGAATGTGATTAAGGTTGTGTCTTATAGCCGTTATAAAATCAAATGAGAAGTCGGTAGATATAATCATAATTGTTAGAAATATATACTCTCACAAAATTCAAAAGTTATAATTAAGAAGTTGTATAAAATTTCAAACCATTAGCTTTTAGAAATTATTTGATTTTTGCGCTTCCTTTTTAAATTTCCATTCTTCCTGTGTCGCGGTAGGTTTTATGGTCTTTTTGCATCCCCAAATAGAATATTCGTAAACAAAAGACACCCATCCTCCTTACGGAAAAAGAACTCTTTTTTATATATAATCGGATAAAACTGAACCACAATAAAAGAACTCTCTCGTCGACAACGACGATTACGGAATCTTTCTTTCACCGATCTCCAATCGAACACGGAAATGCTGGCAATTGAACCGGCAATCTCCTTCCGTATCCCTGCCGGCCGTTTTGCTCGTGATTGCCGCCTCCTCTCTCACTCCCGCAGCTTCGTCATTCCTTGGTATCGATTTCGTACAAATTAAGTTTTTTCGCTTTATCTTTTGCTGGAAGTAAATTATTTTATTGTCTCTTATAAGCTTTTAAATCTATCTGATTTCTGTTATCAGCTGGTAAATGTTGAACATGAGCTTAGCTTGAGCTCATAAATGAACGAGCTTACTAAATTAACGAAAGCTAGAGGATTTTGGGGATAACAGTATTGAAAAGTGTGTTTTGCATTGGTTTTTTTGTCAGCAACAAGATTACGAGAAGGAACAATTTTACAAAGAACATAATTAGAGCTTCGGCGGAGGAGCTTTCAGGTCCAGTGAAACAAGCGAAGCCACAACGGTACCATCCGTCTGAGGACATTTCGGATTCTGAAGAATCGGATGAGAATGGAGACGCCATACTTGGACCTGCTGAAACTAGCAGGACTGTTATTGAGGTAATTCTACCAATATTTTGTTGAAATTTGAAAAGCAGCTTAATTTGGAAGCATATGTATCTCATTGTAGTTAGATCTTTATTAGAGAAACTCAAATGTTAGGATCAAAAATCCCATCCGCCTCCATCTAGAAACATGTGTGGTAACTTGTAAAATAGAACATTTTTTTGATCATCCCATTCCCTGCACTGAAGATATCCCATCACATATGAACGTATGATATTGATTGCAAACATGTCATTTTGTCAGGTAAACAGCAAAGCAATGCTTATGTTCTCAGGTCTGATAGGTGATGGAGGCCATGAGAATATCTTCTGGCCAGATTTGCCTTATGTAACTGATGAACATGGGAGTAAGTTACACTGTCAATATCCCCCTATCATACTTGATAATGTCAAGTGTTAAACCATCTTTGTACTAAATTACCTGTTATAAATGCCTCTCAGATATATATTTCCGAGTGAAAAATGATGAAGACATTCTTCAAACTCTTACTTCCGAGGATACCCTTGTAGTAAGGAACTTGAATTTAAGGGTTTAGATTTCAGTTAAGACCGTAGAATTGAATCCAATTTCAAGTTAATTAACGAATCAAACTCAATGCAGCAAGTCATAATAGGCTTAGATACAACTGAAATGGTGAGTGAGATGGAGTTGATAGGTCAATTAGAGTCTGATTTCGATATGGAGGAAATTGATGATGAAGATAGTGGATCTGATGATGATGATGATGATGACAATGATGAGGATGAAGACGATGACAGTGGTGGATATGAAAATGTGATGGTTTCATTTCTTTATTTGTTTTTCTCTCACATAAAAAACGGTTACTATAATCGTTATTTATCATGCCTACATTTCATAGGAATGGGTTTCGCTTCTAGAAGATGAGGAAGATGATGAGGATTCTGATGGATCCCTTGGTGACTGGGCAAAATTGGAAACCATGCGGTCTTCCCATCCTATGCATTTTGCCAAACAGATGGCAGAGGTAAGAAGGAGTTGTTTTGTTTGTACTTTAAAAGGCTTTATGGGTTAAGCACTTAATCTGAACAGTTATATTTAACAAAATTTGATGTTTTGGGGGAAATTCCTTTCGCAGTTTGTATCCGATGATCCGGTTGACTACATGGACCAGCCTCCAGCTGGTCTTGCGATTCAAGGCCTTCTAAGATCTGCATTTGTTGAAGATAATTCTGTCATCAACAAACAGATTTTTGATGACCAATCTAACAATGAAGAAGAAAATCAAATCTCAGAAGAAGAAGAAGAAGAAGAAGAAGATGATGATGATGATGATTTAGGTGTTGTGAATGGCCATAGGCATTCATCTCAAGATGATTTGAATGCAGAAGAGGAATTACAGAAAGATCAAGTCTCAGGAAATGGGACTTCATACTATAAGCTAGAGATGGTCAAAATCCATTTGATCTCAGCACATGGGAATCAGGTATTTTGGGATATTGATATTACATATTTGGTCCTTGAGTATGGATGTTTTTATTTTTCAGTTTTCGTCACTTAAAGTTGTCTTGCAATGTTGGTCCTTATTTGAGGTTTTTATGACATTTTTAGTCCCTATTCCAAGTAAGATGACAATCTGCAAAAATTCGGTGACCAAAAATCTCCAAATAACTTGAAACAGTGACCAAAAACATTATAAGAGAACCTCAATAAGGACCAAAACTGCAAAAACCAGCTATACTTAGAGCCAAAAATGTACATAATATTGATATATACATTTAATATAAAATATGTTTCACAGACTTTTGTTGAAGTGGAAGATTTTAGAAGGGCTCGACCGGATGCTATTGCGCATTCAGCTGCAAAAATCATATCTCGTCTCAAATCTGGTGGAGAAAAGACAACAATAGCCCTTAAATCGTTGTGTTGGCGATGTAAGGGTATTCAAGTGGAGGTAACGCATACTTGCTTCATCTTTAAACATTCTAGAAGATTCTTTATTATACTCCATTGTTGTGTGTGAGGAAGATGATAATGTGAGTTATATTGCAACTAATGACAGGAGGTAGCTGTTATTGGCGTTGACAGTTTGGGATTCGATGTAAGAGTTTGTTCTGGAAGACAAGTTCAAACATTGCGCTTTGCATTTAAAAAGAAGGTAAATTACCAACTTCTCCTAAATTTAAGTTATAAAATAGAACTAAATGTTTTCTAAATATATGTTGCAAAAAAATTCATTGCTATTATTGGTGAAGACATGTAACAACATCACTTTTTGGGTTATGTAGGCCTCTTCGGAGTACAGTGCAGAGAGACAGTTGAATAATCTACTATTTCCAAGAATCCCAGGCAAGCAACAGAAGCAGAAAGAAGCACATCAAACAGAACTCTAATAAAAATTGTAGGCAAACCTTTGTGCTTATTGTGTACATAGCAAGCCATTTTTTGCTGCTTGTTTTCATCATTCTTTATAATCTACAAGATTAGATTGTAAGCCAACACTTTAACAATCATCTAATTTTATTGCATTGTTGTTGTTGTATCATGTCATAATTTATTTGGTTGTTATGGTCTCGTATACTAATTGAGCACTCAACAGATCTACAACGGCTGACCCAACTGATACAAACACAGTATTCTCGTTTTCCTCTTTTCTCCCAAACTTCTCCCCTTTGATCAACCCTACCAGATCACCTGCAACTTCATCTTCCTTCATCACGCCTCTCTCAAACGCCCCCACCAACTCTCCGGCCTCCACCAACGCCGCTTCATTGTCCACAAAAACCCTACTTCTCTTCACGGCTACATCATCACATTCCATCATCGACGGCTTATACGACCCAACCAGATCCAAATGCGCCCCCGCCTTCAACCACTTCCCCAAAACCAGCGGCGTCTCGGAATTCGTCGCACAGCTCACTATATCCGCCATTGCCGCCGCCGGAGCTATATCTTCACAAACTTCAAACCGTACGCCTTCCATTCCGCTTTCATTCCCGATTTCTTCCGCCAGTTTTTTTGATTTTTGTGAAGTTCGGTTCCAGATCATGACATGATTGATGCTCGGGCGCGTTGTTAGGTGAGCTTTGATCAAGTGCGGAGCTAACGATCCGGCGCCGACTGATAGCAAAACTCGAGAGTTTTTGTTGGAGAGATAGTGTGAGGCGACGGCGGAGACACATGCTGTACGGCGGAGAGTGAGTTCGGTTCCGTCCATTGATGCTAGGGTTTCGCCGGTGACAGAGTTGAAGAGGACGTAACTGGCATGGACTCCAGGTAGGTTTAGGGCGGAGTTGTTGGGATGGGTTGTGACGAGTTTGACGCCGATGTAAGGGAGGGTCGTTGAGGAGAGAGACCATGAGGGCATGAGGAGGAGGGTGGATGACGAGGACGTTTGGTGCGAATGGCGAATCGGGGATTGGATTACGGAGGAGGCAGCAGCGAGAGATGTTTGGAGGTGGTTAATTAGGGATCGGTAGGGGAGAACTGACCGGATTGTCGGTGCGTCGATGAAGATCGGCGATCTGCCGGCGGAGGGACTGAGATTGCCGATCATGGTCGCCATTGACGATAGAGCTAACAACTAACTAACACAGCATTCGTATTTGTAGAGAAAGGACCCATAGCATAGCTTGACTAGTGGATTATTTTGGAGTCAATAGTCGCCGTCCATTTCCATGCATATGAGAAACAAAAATAATAATGATAAAGAGACATTAATTTTAGCCTTTTTAGGGCTAAGTAAAATGAATATTTATCATAACGAAAACAAATCTACCTTTAAAAACTTATATTATGGTTTTGAAAATTAAATGGCCTATCGATATTCTTAATTAAATTTAGATAATATAATTATATAACATTACTTTCCTTTTTGAGCTCTAGTCGGAGTCCCAACTGTAATCGAGTAATTAATTTTTTATCTTAATTATTAAGTTTGAGTTTGTGTACAAATATGAGAAACCTGTAATGAATCGAATCGAGTTCTAACTTAAAAAAAGCTGCCTTGGATTCTTATTCTTTTTTTCAAACACTATACATGCATCTGTTGATGGAGCTTGAATTCAACTTGCATTATTAAATATATATTTTTTATAGATAATTTCAAAGTATTTGAATTATTTCTATTGATCATTAGTTATTGTCTTTTTTTTTTTTTTGAATGATAATTTTTTATTAAAAATGGATAATGCAGTCCAATGGTAACATAGTTTAAATTGTATACACATTTAATCACTTATGTTTTTTATTTTGTACATATATGAGCATTAAGTTTGATGATCATATGTGTACAAAGATAAAAAATACAAGTGGCTAAACATATATAAAAACATAAATGACTAAATATATACAAAAATAAACATAAATGACTATATATGTACACAATCTAAACTATGTTATCCTTTGAGTGTATTATAACTATTATCCCTAATAATAATAATAAGAAGAAGAAGAAGAAGAAAAAGAAGAAGAAGAAGAAGAAGAAGAAGAATAGCAAGAAACTAGCCAAAACAAATAGACATCAAATAATATCTAAGAGGTTTTAAAATCACTCAATCCAGCTTTTTTAGGCCTAGCATTACACCAAAGAGACTCATGAAAAAGAATCAAGCAAAGACCCTTGCTCCATGTTAGCTTGAATTGCCACCTGTCTGTCCAACTGTAGATTAAAAAGTCTTGGGAATTGACTTTTTAAAGAAGACCATCATATCCAAAATGTCGTCCCATAAAGAAGTTAAGGAGCCATTTCCAATCTTCTTATTACAAAACTATAACAAATTAAAGCCTTTATCTCTCAACCGAAACACAGATCTCAAAATATCAATCCAAATATAACTCCTCCTCGAGGGCAAAAGACTATCAATATACGCCTTATCACCATTAATAGGCTTAACAACTTCTGCCCAAAGAGAAAAAGGATTAGTAAAAGCCGCCAAACCCACATGAACAGAAGATCTCTATTTAAAACAAAAATATTACTAACACCCAAACCTCTATGTTTTTTCTAAGCTAAGAAATTTTTCCAACTAGTCCAATCCATATTTTATTCTTCCAACTCAACACCAAGGAAGAATTTGTTACGCATAAGTGTTTAAGATACTAATAAGAGCATTATATAAACACATAGAAAAAGTAGGAAGAGAACCCAACACTAACTTAATCAAAATCAATCTACCAGTCACATGAAGGGTTTTAACTTTGTATTTGGAAAGTTTAGCCATCGCTTTCAAAATAATATCTTTCTAACCTGAGAGTCGATTCATATTACCTCCTAGTATTAAATTAAGGTGAGGAAAATGAGTGTAACACCCGTTGTCAGGTACTTTTTTTCATCCCTGAATGTTGTTTTAATTGCGGTTTGGCCACTTACTTTGGGCGTACTAGCCTTGTACGTCGGACGTAAGTCATCGAATGAGACAGGGTGGAGGAAGGAGTACGTTGGGTGTACATGTGATTACGCCAGGCATACTCGTACAGTTCCTAAACCCTAAATTTTAGGGTTGTTGCCCATATTTAATTACATTATGCCCCCTTGGACATCCTCTCATCCAACCTCCATTCCCACTAAACCCTAAAACCAAATTGTATATGTATTTTATATCTACAAAATGTGTTGGGTAAAACATGGGTAGATGTAATAGTTGTTGTGTGGCAAAATAAAATAATGAGAGGCCTCATTATAGATGTTATTGATGATCCAGACATCTGACAGAGTATAGATGACGACCACAGACTATTCTAGAGAGTCCAGTGGAACGCTAACAGACTCGCAACCTATAGGTGTTTATTTGAACTGCGTGTTTATTTGAACTGTGTGCTCACCAGGTGTACTTCATCACCCATATGGTTGCCTTAAGGACATTTATTGCTGAGGAATCCCCTTAGCAGTAGTGTCTATCCCGATGATGATCCTTAGGCTATGTCCCTTATGATAGGTGTTTAGGGACGTAATGAGAGGATAACGGGAATGGGTAACCGGGTTATTGTTGATTGATGAAATTAATAAACTTATTTATTGTGGGTTGAAAACCCTATGTGTGCTCACCAGGCTCTCAAGTCCGACCTACTCAGTTTCTTGTATTATAGGTAGTGGCGCATGAACATATATGTGATGTCTTGGGATGAGAGATTAAGGGATTTTAGGCCTGTAAATACGGAATAATGTAGTAAGGCCTATGTTGTATTGTTTATGCTTATGAGCTGTATTGAACATGACATCCCGAGTCTTTTTAATGAAATACATTTCTATGAAAATACTTTTGATAAATCTTTATCATATTTTGTTTTGGGACAAATTCCACAACATTTTTATTTAAAATGTTACTCTGATTTTCAAATAAATCATAAACAAAATCGGTCTTTTCTGTCCGTAAAAATGGGGATGTCACAGTTCACTCGTGCGGAAACAAGCATCGGCTGAAACAGTAAGAAACTATGACCAATAGAGGAAGACACTTAGCTACATTTGCACAGAAAAAGAATATGATTATGGTTAGCTCAATCTCTCAGTCTCGAAATTAATTGTCTATATATTAGTCACTCCATGCTTTGATGAGTATCTTGCCTTATATTATAGTCGTGGCCATGGACCATGACTAGCAACGATGGATGGTGGTAATTCTTAACCGGTAACGAAAGAGTGAGATGGGAAATGAATAGGCTCCATGGGAGGAGAGTGGTGGTGGGAGTAAGAAAGGGTAATAAAAAGGTGGATGAGTTATTTTGTAATATTTAGAATGTTAATTTAAATCTCTATATACTAATAACAAACTAGTTGTTTTGTCTGTGTCACCATATTAGGCATCCTAATTAATATCATATCACTTGTCAACTTATTGATTATCCATTTCAAAATTTAAACTTCTTACTCTAATTATATTAAATTAATAATATTAGAATAACAAATAAAATAAAATTAATACAAATTATAAGGTGATATAATTTCACGAATTTATTTGAATCAACGACTATATTTTATATAACTAAAAAAATATTTATTAATTAAGAATTTATTTAAAATAATTGATTAGTAATTTTGAATTTTTATTATGAAAGTTTAATTAATTTTGTAATTATGGTTTCAAAGGTTATAAACTAGTTATGAATAAGAAAAGAAAAAAATCCAACAAATTTAGATAAATCACGAAACAAAATAAAACCATAGTCAAATAAACTATCGAAATCATAAGAACCAAAAATATAATGATTATGATAATTGTCATCACAAAATTCAATTATGTAATCTGTTTACGTAACTATATATGAGACCTGTGTATTACACGAGTTTATTAAAAATAAAAATTTAATATCAATATATAAATATGAAATATTTTATAATGTAATATTTTATATAACAGAATGTAATCTTTGAAACTTTGTAAAATAAATTAAATAATTTGAAGTATTTATGAGAATTTATTACTAAATTAATAGAATGGTTTTATTTCCTTGTAAAACTCATTACAATTTTATAGAATTTTAATTTAAGAGAATGAAATTCCCTAAAAAATGATGGAAAACAAAATTTCTAAAATTGTCGCAAAATGAGAAATATCAAAAAAAAAAAAAAAAAGATAAAATATGATAAAAAAAAACTTACATTTAGGATTTGTTTTAAGATTTACAAGATGATACTTTAAAATATGCAAAAAAAAATCGGATTCCATTAAAGTCCGGCCCGCATACTCTACAGGCCATGCAAACGGGCTTTAAACTTGGCAACATGTCTATCAACAAAAACGCTTACTATCAATTCTAGGGTTTTATCCGCAAACACAAGAACCCTCCCTCCCGTCTACCAATCTCGAAGTGAAGCAGCAGCCATGGTAAATCTCCTCTCCTTGTTTTTAATCTTGTAAAGCTGTAATGTTCACAAAAATATTTTGAGATTTCAGAGATTCTGATATCCGTTGGGTTTTGACATTTTCAGATTATCCCTGAGAAGAATCGTAGAGCGATATCCAAATACCTCTTCCAAGGTCTCACTTACTCCGTTCGTATGCATAATAAAGCTTCGTATATGTCTAACGGCATTGATGATACTAATTGTTATGGGGGTTTATTGTCTATGCAGAGGGAGTATGCTATGCAAAGAAGGATTACAATTTGGCTAAACATCCAGATATCGATGTGCCAAATTTGCAGGTGATTAAGCTTATGCAAAGCTTCAAATCGAAGGAATACGTGCGTGAGACATTTGCCTGGATGCATTACTATTGGTATCTCACTAATGACGGGATCGAGTTCTTGAGGACTTACCTGAACCTTCCATCTGATATTGTACCTGCTACTCTCAAGAAGTCAGCCAAGCCCCTCGGCCGTCCCATGGGCGGACCTCCCGGCGATCGCCCACGGTAAATTAACATTTACATCTTCATTTGGGGTTTGTTTGGATGGATTTTTTATTTTTGTGGTGTAATTTTTGTAGTGGGCCACCGAGATTTGAAGGGGACAGACCGAGATTCGGTGATAGGGATGGATACCGTGGTGGTCCTAGAGGACCTCCTGGGGAATTTGGTGGCGAGAAGGGTGGAGCTCCGGCGGATTACCAGCCTGCTTTTAACAGGGTAATGTTTTCACTGTTTTTATGCTTGCATTTCTTGACGACGGGTGTGTTATGATTGAATTCAAAAATGCTTTTAGTTTTATGCCGAAATTGGATTTAGATTAACCCTTTCAAGTTCTATTGTCTTTCGTAAAAGAAGAAGTACATGATCTAAGTTCATATTTAATGTTGTTTGTTTCAAAAATTCTTTAAGTAATTCTTTTCAAGCTGAGCTATATTGATTGTTTGACCCATGGAAAGTTTGGATTATGGATGTACATTCGTAACAAATATGTAAGCAGTGATTTATATTGGAAGGCTGTTATTGATTTGTTATGAACTGAATTTGCAGGGTGATGGTGGGAGACCCAGCTTTGGTCGTGGAGGTGGTGGTTATGGTGGCGGTGCTGGTGCACCACCAAGCTCTAGTTTCTCCTAAACCTTTTATTAGTTCCAGACTTTTATTTTAATTTGAGGTTTTCTGTTTTATGGTTTTTTCTTTGTGATATTATTGGAATATTGTTACTACCTTTTTGTCTAGATATGAATGCCATTTTGCTTTTATGATACATTTGGATTTGGATGTGCTGCTTTCATGTTTTTAATACTCCCAACCATAAGCCTCTATGCTGATGACCATTCGTCATTTATTAGTTAAAGTTTTATTTTGAGTAGATTATTATTCTAAAATATTTAATGTATGATTATACATGTTCATTAATAGTTTTAACAATGATTTTCGTTTTGTGAGCATTTCAATAAATTATCACTTTGACGCCCAACATTATTGTTGTGCAGCTCATTATCATGTTATGTGTTTGTTGCACATTAATGTTTGGTTGACTTCTAAAGCAGCTAATAAAATAGCTTCTAAGTTAGGTTTTTAGTAACCTATTTGAGATAGGTTTTTTGATAATCTAGTTTCTGGTAGCATGTTGATTTTGACTTCATGTGACAGTTTGTTACCTTGTGAGTGACAACGTAGGTTATAGTCTATTTATAAGACCAAAGGGTGTAGCAGCTGTTTGGCCGTGGTTTGCCACATTGGCAATGGGGATACCGCTCCCACAATGCGGTTTCCTATGCAGTTTAGTTTTGGCCTCACACTCTCTCTTGCTTTTTCTTTTTCCAACAACAAATGGTCAACTTTTTAAAATTTGAATTTATTTATTTTTTATTTTTTAATTTTTTTATCTACAAATAAAATCTTTCAATATTTTTTTTTTCTTTCAATAACTCGAACAATCAAAAAACCGATTTATTGGTCTTTATCACTATGAGGGTATGTTATCATATTCAAATTCCTACAACAGTTCCTACACACACAAATACAGACCATAATCGACATGATTTTAATCCGTTTGATTTTTTGTCTCGATCAGATGTCGCTTCAAGAAACTCAAGCATCCATTTTTGATTCCGAACTCGAAATCCTTTGAGAAACTCAACCCACAAAATCACCAAATGATGGAAATCTGAAGAAAGGTATTGGCACAATCATAAATCGATATTTCAGATGATGCAAAGACAAGAAAAGGCAAAAAACATGATCAATTTGAAGGCAAGTTACAAAAAAAGGTTCCACAAAGAATATCGTTCAAATGGCATGAAAAGAATGGAGATGATATGAACGGTATATGGCAGGAGAGGAGCTTGAAACTGTTTTTACTGATGAAAGTTAATATGTTTTTTTTGTGTTTTTTTAATGCTTGTAATTTTCTTATTAGAAGACTTTTTCTATTTTGAAGTAATGACATTTCTATTTTTTTTATTAAGATTAAAGTTTTTATTTAAATTCATACTATGGCACCACACCTAGTTTTTATGGTTAAAAAAAAAAAAAAAAAAAAAAAAAAACTATTGCACAAAGTTATCTTCACGGATTTGTGAGCGATAAAAAGTGATAGATCGCAATCAAGTAAGTTTTTTCGGTTTAAAAGGAAAAGCTCAAAAAAATCTCTCGATTTTTGCTAGTAGTTGAATGCTTTAAACATGCAATATAGCTCACATTGCAAAAAAAATGAAAAATCAGGTTTTTTAAATAAACGGAAACAAGTTGGGGTTGCTCTTTTGTGTTAGCGAAAAGTCACTTCATTCAGCTCTGATCACCATAACCAAAGCTAGATGGCGCACCACAACATAAAATAATTTGACCCGTTTTTTTGTTTGGCAAGCAAGTCTCATGTTATAAATATATTGCGATTTTAAAAAATGAATACTGAGAGCAGAAAGAACAGGTCATCCAACAAAAATTGACAACGTTCAAGATTTTATATGAACCAGAATATGCACTCAGTACTCAAAATATTCTTCATAACAAGTACAAGTAAAGAGACTCAAAAGACACTCCATCACAGGTACAAGTTGAAGTCAAAAAAAAGAAAAAAAAAACCCGAAGCACTGTAGACAACCATTTAAACAACTCCGACTAGACCAATTCAGACGCAGCACAACACAACAACAATCTAATCAACTTCCTCCATCTTACTTTCCTCAGCAGCTTCTTCCTCCAAAACAGGCATCTCAGCATCATCCCCAGCGTCTTCCTCGTCAATGCTGAGCCCCAATTTCAACATCCTGTGGATCCTTCCTCCAAACATATTAGGATCCTCTAAGCTAAACCCAGAAGTCAACAGAGCAGTCTCAAACAAAAGCAAAACCAAATCTTTAACCGACTTATCATTCTTATCCGCCTCAGCCCTCTTCCTCAACTCCTCCATAATAGGATTATCAGGATTTATCTCCATAGTCTTCTTGCTGGACATATAAGACCCCATGCTACTATCCCTCAGCGCCTGTGCCTTCATAATCCTCTCCATATTAGCAGTCCATCCGTACTCCCCGGTCACCAAACAGCAAGGCGAGTCCACAATCCTATCAGACACCACAACCTTCTCCACTTTGTCTCCCAAAATATCCTTAATCGTCTTGCATAGATTCTCAAACGACTTCTTCTTTTCTTCCTTCTTCTGCTTCTCTTCCTCCGTTTCATCTTCAAGCTTCAACCCTTCCTTTGTAGCAGACACAAGCTTCTTCCCATCATACTCCTTCAGCTGTCCAACCGCATACTCATCAATAGCATCCACCATGAACAACACTTCATACCCTTTCTTCTTCAGTCTCTCCAAAAACGGTGAATTTTCAACAGCCTTCTTGCTTTCACCGGTTATGTAGTAAATATCCTTCTGCCCTTCTTTCATACGTGTCACATAGTCTTTCAAGCTGGTCAACTCATCTCCACTTTTTGTTGAATGGTATCGAAGCAAATCTGCAAGTTTCGGCCTGTTCTGGCTGTCTTCATGGATACCCAACTTCAGATTCTTGGAGAATGCTTCATAGAATTTGTTGTAGTCCTCTTTGTTTTCAGCAATCTCGTTGAACATCTCAATGCATTTCTTCACCAAATTCTTCCTGATAACTTTGAGAATCTTGTTCTGCTGAAGCATTTCACGGGAGATGTTGAGTGGTAGGTCATCAGAATCAACAACACCCTTCACAAACCCAAGCCACTCAGGAATCAACTCCTCACAGTTGTCCATGATGAAAACTCTCCTCACGTATAGCTTGATGTTGTTCATCTTCTTACGTGTGTCGAACAGATCAAACGGGGCTCTTTTGGGAACAAATAAAATCGCCTTGAATTCGAGCTGTCCTTCAACTGAGAAGTGTTTTACTGCAAGATGATCTTCCCAGTCGTTAGTAATGCTTTTGTAGAAGGAAGCGTACTCTTCTTTGGTGATTTCTTCTGGTTTGCGTAGCCAGATTGGTTTCTGCTTGTTGATGAGCTCCCATTCATGAGAAACCTCTTTGATCTTCTTCTTCTTACCCTTTTCCTTCTCTTTCTCTTCGTCAACCTCTTCAATGTCACCTTCCTCTTGTTTTTTAGAAGATTCTTCATCTTCGTCATCACTGATCTCTTTCTCTGTTGTTTTTTCAGTCCATAGATAGATCGGATAGCTGATAAACTCGGAATGCTTCTTCACCAGATCCTTAATTCTCCTTTCCTCTAGGTACTCCAACTACACAAAGTAGAACATCAAACCACGGTTTAGAAACTAATTCTACTATAAATCTCACTAACTGATAACTAAGAAGAATGTCAACTGAATTGTGCAAATACCTGATCTTCTTTGAGGAAGAGAGTGATCTTGGTTCCTCTACCGAGTGGCTCACCGTCAGCATCCCTGGTAACGGTGAATGAACCACCGGCTTGGGACTCCCAGATGTATTGCTCGTCATCGTTGTGTTTGGTGGTGACAATGACTTTTTCAGCAACTAGATACGCGGAATAGAAACCTACACCGAACTGTCCAATCATGCTTACATCAGCACCAGCCTGAAGTGCTTCCATGAATTCCTTGGTTCCAGATCTAGCAATTGTTCCCAAGTTGTTCACCAAATCTGCATAGATCGAAGCACCACTTAGACTCTGTTTTTTGAATTATGAGCAAAACGCCGGTGATATTACTATTATAAGAAGCATAGGATCATCGAATGATGTAAATCATGTTAGTTCTGCTTAACTAGCGACTAATATTTAACCAAACGACCTACAGTTGGCCTTATCTCTGACCAGTTCGCCAGATAATAACAGCAGATGACACAGTACATTATTTACACGAACAAAGAAGTAAGTTTAAGAAGATATAATATACACTATAAATTATCACCAAGGGTAAAACCTAAGTTTCCTCCGCATAAACTTGTAACTAGTTATTTAAATCATAACTGATCCTTAATTATATGTTAGGTATAAGCTACATGCAAATCGTGGTATCGTTTTAGACTATCCACAGGAAATTGACACATCATGAACAGAAACAGAGCGGAGTTATAAACTTTAACGATAAAATTACGAATCGACGTAATAGAGGACCTAAATCTATGAATTAACACTACAAATTAAGGAATGCACGATGTACACTATAAGGTGACAACAGAATTCATCGATCGAAGACGTAAAAATGAATACGATAATTTACCTGCTTTTGTCATTCCGACACCACTATCAATGATCGACAAGGTCTTGTTAACCTTATCAGGAACGAGCCGGATGAAAAGCTCGGGTTGCGCATCCAGTTTGCTCTTATCTGTCAAGCTCTCGAATCGAATTTTATCCAACGCATCAGAAGAATTGCTAATGAGTTCTCGGAGGAAGATCTCCTTGTTGCTGTAGAAAGTGTTGATGATCAAACTCAGCAACTGGTTGATTTCGGCCTGGAAAGCGAACGTCTCTGCATCGGCCATCTGTACCTCTGCCATTGCAGTCTTATCAGAAAACGAAAACGGTGAAAATTAGTTGGAGAATTTGAGAGTGATTGATATAAGTAGAGAGAAATTGCGCAGAATCAGTTATGCGGAAGAGGGATGCGTATGAGGGATTTTATATGAAGGTGGTGGTTCTAGGTGCTTCTACGATACCTGAGGTTTTGAGTGAGGTTCGGGTCTGTTCTGGATGCTTCCACGCTTTCTCCAGTTCTTTCTACGACCTGGTAATACCTTCTCTGCTGTACAAGTTCATGACACGACGTCGTTTCCCTATCTTCTAGGCTCTAGCTAGAGACCGATCCAAACTTCATACAAGTTATCATCCCCAGCCGGCCCAGCCCAAAAGGCTCTTAAGTCTTAAGTTTAACCACGATAATCCAATTCCATCTTTTACACTAATCCAAACTATTTTTTTATTAAATAAACATATATTATGATTAACTTTTATACAATTAAAAATTATATATATATATATATATATATATATATATATATATATATATTATTTTATTTCAAAATAAATAAATTATTTATTTTTAATATAAAATTAGATGAAAAATATTTGACATTCAATAATGAGATCTAACAAAAAATATAAACCAAATTACAATCGTTAGTAGACTATTCAAAAGGTTGTCAATTATTTTAGCAACTAAAAAACAAAGGAATTTTTATAGTTTTTAACATGTGAATAATCTTTAGAGTCTTTAGCCATGATCAAAACCATTGTCAAGTCGTGATGGCAATGCTTTTACGTCGTGACAGAGTCCATCTAAAATAATCGAGAAAACTCATTGTCACGTCGTGATCCCTACATGGTCACGTCGTAACTGTTGGATTAGTGTCTAAGTCCATAACTATTTTGGTATGTACTTGACCCGATGATGCATGGTCCTTTTGGGTTGCCTTCACCAAAGCAACTTGATAGGATGAATTATGGAGAGTAAGGATTAAATATGATTTATTAATAT